TCAGCACAGGCAGCAGGAATCGAGGTGCAGACCTCTCCAGAGCTCCATGCACTCCTCCACTGCAGCCTGTACTGTCAGGGGAAGAATGGCTTCCAGGGGGTCTCCCCAGGTATTGTACAAGGTCTTCCTAGTTTCCAGCTTCTGAATGGCCCTCATGACCCTGGTCAACTAGACCTCTGAGTCTTCAGGCGTAGTCTGTATTCTCATGTTCTCTGAGTCCTTGTTCTGTAGCTGCTCCTCCTCTGACTCTGTACCTTTCTGATTCTTAACGGCAGGGGCAAGAGCTACCTGTTGTGTGGCATGTATTCCCAAAGATTTCTCCATGTCAGGATGATTCACACACGTCCTCAGGTGGGCCTCCTCAGCCAGCGCGTGGTGGGCCAGTTGTGTCATTGCTTCTCTGTACCATTATAGTTTTCATCAATGTGGCGGCAACTGGCCGTGTGGCGCCCTGGGTGCCGACTGCCCGCCTCCCGGGCACCTGTGCAGCTCAGGGCTGGCCCCAAGTTCACTGATTCTTTTTCTGCTTGCTCAAACCTGCCACTGGCTCTCGTTAGTGGATTTCTTTTTAAAATTACTGCACTTTGCAGATATAAAATGTTTTTGTTTCTTTGTAGATCTTTATCTCTTTAATCATAATTTTATGTGTTTATGTAGTGTTTTCTTGACTTTCCCCACATCTTTCTTTCATTCTTTGAGCATTACAAAGACTGTTGTGTGCCTAATATACCTGCCATCAGGTCTTTTTCAGAAAGCTTCTGTTGACTCATTTACTTCCTTTGAATGGGTCTTTCCAGTTTTTAAATAAGCTTTGCCACTTATTATTATTACTATTTGATAATTGAACATTTTAATCTCATAGCACAGTGATTGTGGAAGTTGGATTCCCACCTCCCTTCTCCAAGGTTTACCTTTTTGTGTTTACTGTTTCTGTTTATTTTATATTGTTTTGCAGTACTAGGCATTGCACTCGACCTTAGACATTCTAGGCAGACATTCTGCCAGTGAACTATATCCTCAACCTTTTTTATTTTTTCTTTTGAGACTTAAAACTGCCCAGGATGGCCTTAAACTTGCAACTCCCCTTCCTTCCCCAGCCTCTGGAATATCTGGGATTACAGGTCTGTGCCACCACTCCTGCCCACCCCCAATCTTGTGGGTGGCATCTGTACCGAGATCAGCTCAAGGTATAAATCTGTCTTCACATGTCATTTCTGAGCCTGCACTATTCCCTGGGCATGTGCTTCACTTTCTGATATACTGTATATGTGCACTTGTCTTTGAGTGTCCATCTAGTCTTTCATATCTGCTTTCCATAAGCGGAAAGAGAAAAAATGAGAGTTGGGGAGCAGAAATGGCTTTAACTCTGACATCCTTGGAGGTCACTTCAGGCAGAGCAGATGGACCTGGGATAGTGAGGAGATGTGCAACAACAGCAGCCCCCACCCCTACCTCTGTGACCAGTAATGGCAGTAGTGGTCAGTAATCATAGCAGTGGTCTCCTGGTTAGGAGCAGGGTCCTTGTTGCCTCCTCTGGCTTCTGTAATGTGTGCGTAGCCTGCGTGCACAGCAGCTGCACAGGGCTGGTGTGGGCAATGGGAGCTGCTACTGTGTCAGGAGCTGAAAGCGATGAGAACGAGCTACAGCGTTCCTGTCCAAGCCTTCCCCTGGAGGTTGCAAGCCTTTAGTAGACACTGGTTCCAGAACAGTTACAGTGGACAGATGCTGCCAGTGTTCTGTTGTCCAGGTGGGGAGACATTCCTTTGCTTCCCACTCCTTCTTCTTTCCAGAATCTTCACCTTCATGTGTGTTCTTGCATACTGTTTCCCTTTTCAACTAAACTTCAGAATCTCTGTCATAGTTTATCTTCTCTTACTATTTTTATATATGGTTCATTTCTAGGTATGCTTTATTTTACTGTTTCCTGTCTTGACTTGGGTCACATTCCTTCAATCTTTTGTACATTTTTGTGAAAATATGTTATAGAAAAGGTAATTGAGGCTAATACATGATATTTCTCTCTGCCCTTTCCCAGTCTTCAGACTAACAAGTTCTTGATCTGGCATCTCTGCCAGTCATACAGGCTAAGTACGAATCTTCTGTCTTAACAAAAGCCTTGTCATTTTCTGAAAACTGATCTTCAGACAGATCAAGCTGATCTGTCTTTGCTAGTGATCTGTTGTTCATGGCAGCTTTTGTCTGAGTGAGTTCATCACTACATTGAAATATTTGGAGGATTGGGCCTAGAGGTTCCTTTAACGGGGAATATTTAAGACTGGTGAGGTGCTAACGATACCTTTGCGCTCACTGTGAAACCAGTCTACTGCCTGAGGGATGCACATCCTGTGTACTTTGTACAGCATGGCTGCTGCTTCTCATGCCCTCCAGTTCATCCCTTAGTTGTGCTGTTGCCTGTGAAGGTCTGCAATGTCTCCCTGGGTTTTTTTCTCATGTTTTTTTGTGCCTCCTCCTGTCTTCAGCTTTCACTTATCCTGAGCACCTTGAGGGTGAACCTTGATTCTTCTGTCCTACAGGCTGTGGAAGTGAGCTGTATTGGCTTGGGGGAGCACTGTACTCTTAAGAGGTTCCTCTCTCCCTACTCTGTTCTTCCCTGGTGTTTGATGTACTGACTCTAGCAGTACCCTTGGTGAATCCCACAGCAATCAGTTGATGGATAGACATGGTCCCTGCTAGAGATGCATCTTATAATACTACTTTGCCACTGTAGTCTGTTTGCAGTCAAAGTTTGGTTGGCTTCTCCTCCTTCTGTCTCAGGCAGATGGCTCATCCTCTGACATCTCTGCCCACATCAGGGCTCATGCAGTCTTTTCTGTCTCAGGAAAGTCTTCTCACTTTTTGAAACTTGCATTTATAGCTTTCTTTTTACTCTAAATTATTTGATTTTTAAGTTCTGATTTTGTAGTAAATGTAGTTTATTTTGTTTAATATGAAACTGTTAGTCTGTGAATTACTTAATGTCTCAAAGCTTAAAAAATAACTTCCACAGACATTGGTCCCCTCACTGTGGAATATGTCTTCATTAACCTTGTTTTTCTTTTGGTATTAACTAGTGATATGTTATATTTGCAGTATTAAGTGTTTCCTGAGCACCAGACACCTTAGTCAGTATTTTCTATGCATAGTCAGTATGCATAAATTTGAGAACAGGTACAGTTATGTCATCCTCATGTTTTTGTTTGAGAAACTAAATAGGTTGGTCAATATTACATGCTGAGTTATTGGTACTTCTGAATTCAGGGTTGCCCCTCTTTGGAATAGTCTTTGCAAGTTTGAATTAAAAGATGGGACAGATATATAACATAATTGCATAAAACAAGTGGAGTAAAAGAAAAGTAACAATCCAAGCAGCATGGTGAATGAGACAGTTAATAGTCAGGTGCTGGCACAAAATGAAGAGTAATCCATTTTGCTGCAAAGTCTGTTGTAGAATGTATACCTTATTTAAGGGTGATGGTCACTGAGCCAACAAACATGGGCAACTGAAATGAATAGACATGTCTCAGAAGAAGAGGTACAAATGGGCAATAAATATGTGAAACAATGTTCAGCACCTCTGGCTACTAGAGAAATGCAAGTTAAAACAACACTGAGATTCTACCTTACCCCAGTAACAATGGTCATCAGCAAAAATCAAATAATACCAACTGCCGGCAAGGCTCTGGGGGAAAAGGCACCCTTCTGTTAGTAGGAATGTAAAGTAGTACAACTACTATGGAAGTTAGTGTGGAGATTCCTCAAAAAACTCAATACAGAAATTCTACTTGACCCAGCTGTTCTCCTTCTAGTCATCATCCTGAAAGTTAAATGCAACATAATTCAGTGGTATGTGCATAACCATGCTTATAGTAGCACAAACTCATAGTAGCTAAATCTTGGAAGCAATCTATATGTCCATCAACAGATAAATGGATAAATAAAATGTATTTATTCACAACAGAGTACTATTCTGCCATAAAGAAGGATAAACTTGAGTCACCTTCAGGAAAATGTATGTGCCACAAGACCATAGTGTTAATAAAAATAAATCAGACTCACAAACTTGAAAACAAAAAATGAAGAGCAAAAAATAATAGGAAATAGGGAGATAGATCTTTTTCAAAATTGCAGGAGACCAGGAGATGCAAGGAAGGGTAAGGAGGGAAAGAAAAAGAGAAGTAAAAACAATGAATATGTGTTATGTACATGTAACAGTGAGGGCTATGATCATTATGTACTGTGAACATACACCAAAATAAATAAATAAATTTTTTTAAGCTAGGAGTGGTGGCACATACCTATAATCCCAGCACTTGGGAGGCTGAGGCAAGAGGATCGCTGTGAGCTTGAGGCCAGCCTGGACTGCATAGTGAGATCCTGTCTCAAAAAAAAAATATTTTTTTTAAAAGGTGATGGTCACTACTTAGCTGTTGTTGCCCATGTTAGAAAACATTGGCCTGGTGTTCCCAATCTCCTAATTTTTCAATAAAAGGCAAAAACTTTTTTACATGAGGCCTCTAACCTCACATGTGTTGGCTGCTCATTTAAATACAAATTGGGTAAAATCCAATGAGTAGGTCCACATGGTGAGTCTGAAGTTAACCATGTCTGCAGGCTCAGCCTATTTTCTGCAAAGCCAGTTTGCAGTGATTGTAATAGAGTCTGAGCTCCCATAAGCTGTTACATCATGTTGTCCTTCAGTGCTCAGCTCAGTGACTACCCTTATTGCGTGTACTAAGTAAATTAGGTGAAGACCTGCTTTTGAGCGTATTTTCCTTACTGCTATAACACAGTTGTGCCAAGTTAGGTATAAGGTACTAAGACAATTCCTAGAACTGTGTCATTTTATTAAAGCCTAAGTTCTTTAATTATATGCTTTATGTCATAAAATTCTAAAAAGGCATGTCTTACATTCAGTTGATGTGAGAGTCCAGGTGTTCGGTTTATTCTTGTTCCTTAATCATGTCTTTATGTCTTTCTTTCCCTTCTCTTCTGTGACATAGCTTTCACTTTCTGAAGAACAGAATGAAGTAATGAAAAATGGCTGTGAATCTAAAGAGCTGGTCTACCTCGTGCAGATTGCCTGTCAGGTAATTGTGTGGATCTGTCCTCCACTTCATACAGTGTTAGTAAGAATTATTTTGAGTAATTATGAAATTTCTTAGTATAATGTGCTTCTCACATTGCTGAAAGGAGTATAATTCACAGATTGTTATACTGAAGTGAAATTGGGCTATGAAAGACTGTTGTAAAAGAAAATAAAGCTGGGTGTGATGACACATGGCAATAATTTCAGTACTGTGGGAGGCTGAGGCAGGAGGATGCACCTTTGAGCCCAGCCTCTTACTCTCTTGGAGCCAGCAGTGCAAGGACTGAAATGTGAGCCAAAATAAACCTCTTGTATAAGTTTTGGGTGTTGAGTATTTTGTCCCAGGACTTAGCAAGACTTTGTATTGGGTGGGGGTTGGGGCTGGAGGGATGTAGCTCAGTGTGATGTGAAGTCCTGGGTTCGGTCTCCAGTACCACAAAAACAAATTGAACCAAAACATGATGGTGATTATGGTGACCCAGGTGTTGTTTTATTCTTCCTCTCAGTCGTGTTGAGTTTCTACACATTCTCAAGAGTGAAGTCATCACTGTTGTAAAATCAGTGTTATAGAAATTTATTGTGCATCCATAAGTGAAAATGTTTCTTACAGTGGTCAAAGAATATGACATTTATTGATCACTAGATGAACTTGCTTGTATGGTTTTGAAGCCATTTCTTGACTCTTAGATTAGAACTGCTTACCTCCTTCTCCATACCAGGTATTAAACCCAGTGCTTGTCCACTTAGGTCTGTCCCCGACCCTTTTTTTATTTTTTATTTTGAAACTGGGTCTCAGGAAGGCACCAAGTTGCTCAGGCTGGGCTAAAATTTGTATTATCTGTCTTTAGCCTCCCAAAGTTCTGGGCTTATAGATGTCTGCCATCCAACTAGCTAGATTAGAAGTTTTTGAGAGTAATTACCATGACTTGTTCTTAATAAGTTTTAAAATATATCATTTGCTGCATTACTTATTTCCTTCATCTAGTCAGTATTGAGCATAGTTTTTTCACTGTTATTTTACATGCACTGAGTCTTCCGTTAGTGAGCTTCACATTGCAAAGCAAGTATTTCAGACAAAGCTTTCTTCTACACAAAGTTTTTAGCTGTCTTGCAAAGAGGGTAAGGGGCATTTAAGTTTTTTGTCAAAACATTAATTATATTTCTGAAATTAATAGTATGGAAAAGTCTGATGCTTGCATCATCAGTATAAATTCTTGGTTTTGTTGATTTCAAGGAAAGCCTTCCAAAACTAAGTGATTTTATTTTTAGATATCAGAACATGAGATTGGAAGTTGAACTCAGTTTGCATATAAAGAAGATTTCCAAAGTCACTTTTGTTCATATGTGTTTTGCCTGTCATCTCAGTTTCTTTGAGAAAATAAGCATGTCTCAGTTGCTAAGTTTCCTGTTGTAGTTCATAAAATGATTCTACTTGGTGAGTTAATCTTTTTATTTAAGATTTAATAGCAGGCAAGACTTAAAATTTTGCATTTAATGAATTTTCTCTTTTAGGCTATAGAAGTAATAATAGTGATAGTTTAAGAAGGGTTAAGTATCTGCAACTCTCTTACTCTTTTTTAGTGGCTAGATTATAAGGATAGATTATACAACTGATACTGGGTCCCTGGGTCCAAGATAATACAGTTACACAGCTAACCATTTGTTACACAAGTGCTCATTACAGTGTGCTTCTTTACTCCTCACACACACACACACACACACACACATACACACGCATACATACCTGCTTAATCTTGATGAACTATGTAGCTTAAAGCAGGAAATTAAATTCTTGAATTGGTTAGGCAGAATTTGCATAGCAAAGATTGGGTGATTGATGAAACCTGGGGGAAGAGAAGGACAGAAACAAAAGTCCTAAAATAATCCCTGCCTCAGCAAGTGGCAAGACCAATGAATAGGCCCTTACTGACTTGAAAGGTGGTTCTGTTATGAGAAGGTGAGCATCAGTGATATCTTAGTTACTTTCCTCATTGCTAGGACAAAATACCTGACCCTAAAACTTACAGGAGAAGAGGTTTATTTTGGCTCATGTTTTAGAAGTTTCAGTGCTTTCATGGTTGGCTCCACAGCAGAAAGATGTGGTGGAAAGGCCTGGTCAGAGGAAAACTGCTCACCTCATGGTGGAAAGAAGCAGAGAGAGAAGTTGCAGCCAGGGAGGGAGAAAAATCTTGAGTTTATGCTTCCAGTGACACCCCCTCTCCCAACCAGTCCCTACCTCCCTAACAGCAAACCAGTTATACCACCCCCATAGTCCTTCCACCTACCCCATGAGTGTAAGAGGTTTTGGGGGACACTCAGATAAGAACCGAGTTGATTTTTATGTGAAAATATCAAATCCTCTCCTGATAAACTATTACTAACATATGAATAGAAATCTTATCTTTATCTAGAATACATGATTATAGGAATGAATTTATTAATCCCTTTACAGCCAAAATTCACGGTGTAATCTAAAATACAGTGAATATTTAAACTATAAGTATTAATTGCAGTAAATGACATATTGCCATTAATCCCTTTCAGAATATTCCCTCTTGCTTTGAACCCACTTATCCCATCAGTTTTGCCACTTTGTGTAGCAGTTCTGGAAGTCCTTCTTCAGGAGTACCTTCAGTTGCAGTGCTGTGGCTGTCTTGATGTCCTGAATCCATTCAGAATGTTTACCTTTTATGGTCATATTTAACCTGGGGAAGAGTCAGAAGTCGCACTGTGCCAGGCGCAGTGAATAAGGTGGAAGAAGACACACCGTACTGTTCTAACAAGCCTGCCTTTCCTCTGGATGGCCGTGCGGCAGCAGCCAAATTTTGACCACACTTCATAGAGACACTCAGGAAAGAAGACTTCCAGAACTGCCTCAGAAAGTGGCAAGAATAAAGGAGCAAGTGTTTGAAGCAATGGGGGATATTTTGAAGGGAATTAATGGCAGTGTGTCTTTTATTGTAATATTTAAAAAAATTTAAACATACCACATTTTTTTTGCTCAGCTCTTGTATTTTAACATTTCTCTCTGCTGTGAAAATACAAACATTTTATTCTCATGAGAAAAACATAATGTCAAAAACATACTGTTTTCTTCAAAAGGCAAACATGGTGTTTGGTACTGTACATTAGAATGTTTTATTGTTCCTTAATTGTACTTCCATGTATAAATGACCTAGATGGTAGATTGTTTCCTGGTTGTAAATATCTTGTCAAGCTGTTTAAAACATGTAATAAAATCACTTGGTGTACTACTTATTACATCAAAGTAGTAATTTTACCACGTTGTAATGATGCCATTGGACCTCTTCTCTGTCCACTGTAAGTAATCATTGAAGCATCCCCAAGGCTTACCTTTGTATTCTTGCCATGTATTCAGCCATAAACCATACTAAACTAGAATCATTTTTATAACTATGAGAGACGCGTACCCTCTAATTTTGCAAGTGGGGAAATTGAGGTCAAAAGTACTCAAGTAGCTGTTCTAAGCTTTGTGGAATCTGAGCAGGGTGAGCTAGCTCCAGAGGACTTGAGTTCCCTGATTGCTGTTTTTTTCTGTATCTCCTTGAAATTTTCAAGCTAGGACAGATTTGAGAAATTGCTTAGCTTTCAGATAAAGCAAGATCATTATTACACACTGATGTAGTGTATCTGTTCCGGAAGCTATTTAATCAGATGTATCTATGCTAACTTCTCATTTTAATAATGTACACTTTACAGTTTTTTTATTTAACTGAAACTCTTGTTTGGTCCTTCATGTTAGCTCTCTCCCTCTTCTTGTTCTATTATCTTAGAAGGTAAGAGATTAAATGTAAATGGCTGAGTTGTTTTTACTTTCCACGGACAAAGTGACATTAATTTCTTTTCTTTTCTTTTTTTTTGTCTGTTTGAGACAGGTCTCACTGTGCAGTTCAGGCTGGCTTTGCGCTCACTTTGTAGCCCAGGCTGGTCTCGAACTCACAACGATCCTCCTGTCTCAGCCTCCCGAGTGCTGGTATTCCAGGCGTGAGCCACCACACCCAGCTAATTTCTTTCTTTAAAAAAAAAATGTATTTATGTTACTTTTATTAGTATATGTTAGCAGTACCTCATGGGTAGCTGTTACACATACATAACACATCTTATATCTGAACTTAAAGTGTCTTTGTCTGCCCTTTCAAACTTTTATTTCTTTTTTTTTGGGTTTTCTCCCGTACCGGGAACCGAACTCACAACCTTGCGCTTGCCAGGCAGGCGCTTTGCCGCTGAGCTAAATCCCCAGCCCCAAACTTTTATTTCTTTCTAAATTATGAGTCCAGAAATGTAAACTCTGTTTACAATATTGAATGGACCCAAATTCAGTAAGCACATTTTTGATCACAGTATACCTGATAATCAGATATTATGACATGTAGTTAGTATATCATTTAATTTTTATAACAGCTGTGTGAGGGAAAGAGTCTGGTTTCCATTTTATAGGTGATGAAACAAGGACTCAGGAATGTTGATACCTTCTCCAAGGTCATAAAATTAAAGAGAAGGATCAGGATTTGAACCTAAATGTATTTTGCAGTTCATTTGGTCCTCTAGTAGTCCCTAATAACATGATTTGTTCTTTGTTGGCTACTCTGTGAGCATATCCTAAGTGTTAGTAAAGAATTATAGAAATGCAGATAACTGACTGACAATCCACTTTATTTTCATGAGTTAGTGGACAGGTCCCTTCCTTTAATCCCCTACTCCCTCCCGTTCTCCGCAAAACCTTTGAGTCCTTTCCGTGGACTATTAAATTTTGGAGCTCTTGAGGGAGATAGTCTTGACCAATAGGTTCAGTACCCAGCCAGTGGCCTGCAGTATTTCTGATACAAAAACATTTGACAGTCAGCATAGCATGACCCAAAGCAGTTAAAACAGATACCAGTTACACAAATCTTATTTAGTTGTATAGGTATTTCTCAACTGAACATTAACCATGGATAAAAGACTCTGAGATGCCTAGAAGAATAGACCATCAGTGCTCTG